CGGGATTTAAGGAAGACGAAGAGTCAATCAAACAGTGGATCCAAATCCAAAACCTCCCGTTGCACTGGATGGTGGCTGAGACAGGGTTCAAAATAGGGAAGCTCATAGGGCAAGTCCTGGATATCCAAATACCTGGTGTAGGAAGCACAACAGGACAAGCCATGAGGATGCAAATCCAAATGTCTCTCAAAGACCCATTACTTAGAGGGATGAATGTCAAAGTGGGATCAGAAAACAGATGGATAAATATCAAGTATGAAAACCTCCAAATATTTTGCTATTACTGTGGTCGAATAGGTCACTCAGATAAAAACTGCTCATTTAAAAAAGAGGACCTAAAAGATGATGTGCTTAAAATAGGGCAATATGGTGATTGGTTAAAAGCTAGCAGTCCATCTTTTTTAGAGTCTAGGAGTCCTAGGTCTAGCAAAGGGAGGAGTCAAGCTGAACCTAAGGAGTCTGTTAATCTGCTAAAAGTAGATCTGAAACCTCAGAAGGGTTGCAAGCATCTAACAAGCAGAAGAGATACGGCAAAATAACAGCCCTAACACACCAACCCCAGGAATAGAAGGATCTGGAAAGATAGTGCACAGGAGTAACCCTGTTAAACTCAATATCATTGGGGAGCAGGGTGAAACTAGTGCTGATATAGTTCCTGGGATTGAATAGCAAAATTAGGTAGACTTAGACTTAATAGAAGTTAAGATACAACCTGGATCCATTGAGGGGAAAATTGCTCTAAGGAAGAAAAAATCCTACATAAAAAAGCCTAAAGTCAATATACAATCCATACCTGAAAACATGGTCATTGATAAAATAGACTTAGCTGCAGTGAAGGGGGATGGGGAAACCTGGAAAAACAAGAGAGGTTGTGAGGGGGAAACTAGCAGTGATCCTAATTCAGAGTCACTGCAACATGTTGCTAAAAAACAAAAAATGGAAAATCAAATTCAGCTTCAAGTGGTGGAGGAGACCAGCCCAAATTGGTCCCAAGTGTAGATGAAGGTATGTGTGTGGAACTGTAGAGGTTTGGGGAGACCCTCTACAGTTTCCCATTTCAAGGAAGCCTTTAGGGCCCACTCCCCAGCTTTTTTCTTTCTATCTGAAACAAAAAAGAAGAAAAAAATTGTAGAGTCAGTTTGTAAGAAGTGCAAATTAGAGGATAGATGGGTTTATGTAGAACCTGTGGGAATTAGAGGTGTGATGTTGTTGTATTGGTCCAGCAGGATTGAGATCCTTGATCTCAATTGTTTTGAGTTTTGTATTGAGGTGCATTGCAGAATGAAAGGTTCAGAGGATTCACTCTGGGGAACCTTCATTTATGCTAGCAATAACCCCTCTGTCAGGTTGAGTCAGTGGAACCTTTTGACTAGGCATAGTTTAGCTTGGGGTAGAAACTGGTTTATAGGTGGAGACTTCAATGATACTTTATCTAATCAGGAAAAAAAAAGGGGGCCTCTGAGATGTGACAGTAGCTTTAAGGATTTCAAAAATTTTGTTCAAGGCCTTAATCTTGTGGAGCCTAAAACCAGTGGTAGTGATTTCACTTGGTCTAATAGGAGACAGTGTAGGGACTTTGTGGAGGTTAAACTTGACAGATTTTTCTTATCCTCTGAGCTAAATTTTAACCACCCTAATGCCCTTGTTAAGCACATCAAAACTTTGTCTTTTGATCACAGTTTGCTTATGTTGGAGCTTTTCATGCATGATAATCAGTCTGGGTCTAGATTTCACTTTGATTCCAGATGGGTCAAGGCTGAGGGATTTACAGATGTCATTAACCAGGCCTGGAATTTAGAAGTTAGGGGTTCTCCTTAGTTTAGTATCCAGAACAGGCTGAAAAATGTGAAAAATGCTCTCATTAGGTGGAAAAAAACCACGAACACTAATTCCTTAGACCACATAGAGCACTTTAAGAAGCAGCTGGAGAGCTTGGGTGACCTAATCAATCCAATCGAAACCCTTAATAATAATTAAATCCTTAATTTGTAGATTAAGAGGAGTCGAGCCCTCGCCATTGTTTGACCGTTCATTAAGCATCATCTTCTGCAGTATCAGGTGGGTTTAATGTAAAATTGTCTATGCTGTAAATGTTATTACTGTTTTAAATTTTTGGTATGATCAAGTATGCATGTGGAAGATGTAGCCTTCGATGTGAGCTGTACCGGCCGTCGAACGGTTATCCCCGTAGGTATGGAACGTACCCGTTGGGTAGTCTCCTTATTATTGTGAGCCGTAAGACCTGGGTTAAAGGTCCCTGTGCTGGACACATTTTGAGCCGTAAGTCCTGGGTTAAAGGTCCCTGTGCTGGACAACCCCGTTGGTAAGACCAAGGTGAGGCCTTGGCCGGCGGGTTACTCCTACTGACCGGGCATCGATGGAAGCCCGTGGGGCGATTCGGTGTGTAGGACCGGAGGGCATAGATGTAGAGCCCATGGGGCATTCGAAGCATGACCCGAGCGAGGGCCTTCGATACATCTACCGGCAGTAGTCTATTGGTATAGGTGTGCACATGAGTCTATTATTGATATGATTGATAGGAGATTGGGATAATTAATTGATTCGTATACATGCTGAGACCATACCTTATTGATTATCGATTACTGTTTCATTATTGTGAATAATGTTTACTGCATAGTGGTGAGCACTACTTTTTCCAACTGTGCTCATCCCCACCTGAAATTCACGTTTCAGGTTAAGCGAGGCAGGTACGACGGCGGAGTAGAGCGAGTGGTGGTCGGTCTATAAGAGTGACCTTATTATTTGTTATGCTTCCGCATTTATGATCTGGTTTTTTTAAGAATATGAACTTGGAGTATTATTGCATTTAAGATTTTCAGATTTTATGACTGAATAATGTTAAGGAAATGCTCCTTAGAATTTACGAATATTGTTGGAACCCGGTTTGGGTGATGATTTATGAATTTTTGGAAAAACTCGTTTTGGGAGTTAGTGATATTGTTGATGATTGATGATTGAGTTTGATGATTGATTGAGTATTGGGAAATTGGTTAAGTATGGAAGTTTGTTTTAAAAATGAGTAGCGCCTCAAGTGTTTTGAAATAAATTTTGAAAAATTCATTCTGATTTTCGGCAAATAAAAGTGGGGCGTTACAGTCATGGTCTCTTCATTGGAAAAACTACAGATTTAAATCTCACCGGTTTTTCAGACTCAGATTGGGCTGCAGATTTGGATGACAGAAGATCCATAACAGGGTCTTGTGTCTTTTTGGGAGAGAATCTTGTATCATGGAGTTCCAAGAAGCAAAACTCGGTTTCAAGGTCCAGCACCGAGGCACAGTACAAGAGCTTGGCAAGTACTACTACAGAGATCACTTGGATAGAGTCATTAATGACAGAACTGGGCATCTCTACTTCAAGAATTCCCATAATATGGGTTGATAACTTAAGTGCCATAGCCCTTGCTTCAAATCCTGTTCAACATGCAAGGACAAAGCATATTGAAATCGACTAACACTTTGTCATGGATAAGATAAATGCAGGACTCTTAAGAATTCAACACATTCCCTCTACTGAACAAATTCCAGATATTTTGACCAAGGCCTTAGGAGTTCAATCCTTCAACCGGTTTAGGCCACAACTTCAGGTTCTTCCCATAACCGGCTTTGGATTGAGGGGGGATGTTAAAGCTGGTCAAAGTCACAGCCATGCATACGTGGAAATGCAAAGGCCAAATCACCATGTGCATGTGGAAAAACAAAAGAAAAGCTTGCAGCCTTTGTACCAGGTTTTGTCTCTTGATCCAAAAGATTCAACTATTGCCACTTGTCATCATCCAAGCTAAGGGAAAGGATAAAGAATATGCTATAGAATATACCTTCTTTTGTTGCCCTAGTTTTTTGGTTCATATATAAGGTATTCACTTAGCATTTTTCTCATTGTATTGTACTGTTTCATTGAAGAGAGAAAATGAGATCTATTTTCTTGTTAAGCAAAATGGCACATTCTTATGCATTGATTGTTGAGCTTAGTTTCATTTATTGCAAGTTTCCTTTCACCAGGCCTCTTTTGAACTCGATGCATATAAATATAACTATCGCATATGAATGTTTGAACTCGATGAATGTAAATATAACTATCACATATGAATGTTTTGTCAATGTAAGCTTATGTTTTGGTTTATAGTATTATGAAATCAATATAAAATATGTACATGGTCATATGGCATTACCTTAAAACCAAGATTGTCAAAACCGGATCGGTCATCGAACTGGTCAAGCTACTGGTTCAATGGTTCACTGGTCCGACCAGTGGTTGAATCGGTTGGACCGGTATTTAATTTATTAATATTTTTAAACATATATAATATTTTATATAATAAAATTTATCTATAAAAGCTTTATTATTTAATTATTAAGCTAATTTAAAACATTCAAACACTTAAATTAACTAATAATAACTTATATTTCTCTATAATCTTAATATGTTTTTTTTAGTTGAGTGGCAGAAATTTAAAGAATTAAAAATATAAGCAAGATGTGCAATTTCTCGTAAAAGATTCTAAGCCACATAATCTGTTGGAATATGTTGTCCCACATCGCTTGAGAAAGGTCAAATGAAAGAGAGATCGGCTATAAAATGAAGCGAAATAAACTCTGTCATGTAGCGGCCTTCTACTACAAAAATCCTGTGGTGGGCATGCTTTTAATAGAAAATTAAAAGTTCATGGCCTCTAAAGTATATGTTTAGGCTTATTTTTGAGTCCGAAATCTAACATTAAGTTCAAAATTTAAGTACAAAATAAAAAACCGTTGAGCCAGCAAATCATTTCCGGTTTTACCGGGTTAACGGTTTTGTAAACGGTTTATGGACTAAGCGGTTTTATATCTTAAACCGAACCGGTATGCCGGCCGATTCCCGGTTGAACCGGTCCAACCGGCCAGTCTGGTCCGGTTTTGACAACCTTGCTTAATAATTATTTAACAAAACTGTTATGCAAAACATTTTTAGAGACACACAACAGGGCCATACTGGCTGTGCTAGGCACAACCAAAGCCCTCTAGTATATATATATATATACCAGTTCCTGTTTCTTCGTCGGACATAACAGTGATGGTTTCTGTCCAAAAGAAATCATTTCTCAAAACCATTTCTCCAACACTAGAATAATGAAAATATATTCATATTCGGACCTTTTTTATTTTTTCCAACTATAGTAAGAAAAACTTTTTCCGGAAAGGTATTATGCAAAGAGCATGAAACTTAATCACTGCAAAGCACACTCCAGAGCAAACAATTCAGAGTACAGAGAGGTCACCCTTGTTAATGTCACCACCTAACTTACCAGTTGCAAGTGCGTATTTCTTGAGTTGCATCAAAAGACCAAAAATATAAGGGGAAAATGAATGGATAAAGGCTTGATTGGTAAGAGGATGCAATAAAACAAAAGGAATCAAAAAAACATATCACATCCATATCACTAGTAGCGATCCTGGTCAAATATCTTGTCCTCAAATTTAAACAAGAAGAAATGGCAACCCTACAGCATGAAAGGGTCAGCCTCAGAAACAACTGAAGAGATATTCAATCAGTTCTTAAGTTTCTTTTCCATTACCCTCTTTTGGCAGATCTTGGGCTATCTCCTTACCATTCTCCACATTTTTTAAAATCTCGACCCCTTTCGGTTCTCCCAAATCCTCTTGCAGCTATAACAGTTACAAAAGAATGAAATTTAGAAACCTGAGAAGTAAAACAAAAGCAAGGAAAAAAAAAAAAAAAANAAAAAAAAAAAAAAAAGGCAGAGTTTACATAATTGCAAGACACTGACCCCTAAACTTTTAAGGTTGGACGAGACATCTTCCTGCTGCTGTTGGAGAGTGGTCCTCAGCTCTTGAAATTCCTGCATTCGTCACCAAGCAAGTGGAATAATAAATTCACGTGATAACAGATAATGAGGTTAACATGTGGAAATAGAATTAGGAGGATCACTCACTGTCCGGAGTTGTTCCACTTCGGTATTAAGTGATTTCTTGAGCTCGGACAACTCCTACATTATGAAAGAGGAAAAATAAAGATGCTCAAAAGATAAAAAACAAATATCCATTGACTTGTAGACTGTAGTAAACAATCAAGAGGTGTTACTGCAGACTATAAAATTTTAAAGTCTCCCAATCATACGGTATGTTAGGTATAGCAAACAAGTTAGTTCCGAGACAATAGCTAAAAGATGATAGCTGGTGACTAAAATAACTTTTTAACTGATAATACTAAAAATGTTGGCAAAGTTAGCTTGTCAGTCCAATGGAACAGAAATCTCAATGGAAAAATTCGAAACGCTCCCAAGATAAGTAATTGAGATGAGCTCGAGCTTTTCAAACAGCATGTCCAATCAAAAGAAACTTATTTGATGCAAGAAACTTAAAAACAAGCTAAATAAGCTATAAGTCTTTCAATGCTAATAAAAAACAATCTATGCTGAACACACTTGACAAATTGATCTGAATTCCAAATGTCTCAAGTCCTGTCGCATCATGGTAAATGATGTTCACTTATAAGTTATAACTACTAAGGTTCAAGTTTGATGTTCCAAGCACCTTATTTTCTGGTGTTGAGCAACAGATAGATATAGTATCCGAATATTAGCCAGATTGGAGGTCAAGGGTACTCAAACATGATTATTAATAAAACTAACATAGCATCCATTGGACAACGCATGGGATTCACAACTACTCTGCTTAGTTTCCCTGGAAAATCTTCTTTGCATTAACTCACATAAGATACGAACACACTCATCGATTCACTAAAAGTCTGTTGTTGTCATCTTTTATGGTGTTTAACTGCTTGACCTTTGACTAAGGACAGGCAAGGAATTCAAGAGTGTGAGGAGCTTGCTTGATCCTAATATACAATATTTTCATTCGATTATATATACAATCATATACAATCAAATTAATTTGGAAGGGGAAAATCTACAATGCGTGGATGTTTTTATCATAATTATAAATTCAGGATTTTAATTACAACATAGAAAAAGGGGGATGAGGCTTGAGTTTACCAGAAAAATGGAGGCAAGGTGCTAAAATTTGGAAGTAATTGAGCTGGACTTGGTGTGATGGAAGGGGGAAAAGGTGAGGTTAGGTCTACTTTTTGAAACTAGCAATACTTGACAAAATATATTTTTCCGAGTAAAAATGTAGCTTGTGGTGGTGTGATCAATTGATCATAAAACGATTACACTATGTTTCAAATGGACGACGATAGTACTAAGAGGATGGTTCAACAATTTGGCCCATTTCACAAGCACATAGCAGCACTCAAAAAAAACTCAAAATCTGAAATGCACAAATGCATAGCAGCACTCATTAAAAAAAAAAATCAAAAAGTTTGCGGATAAGAATAGCTAATACTTACATCATGGTAAACCTTGACCTGAGTGTCCAACTTCATTCTCCAATTTTGCAGGTCCTAATAAGTTGGCAAAAGAAACTTCAAATATGAATATGAAAACAGCTAAAAGCACATCATAATGCTACCCCTACAACAAGACATAGAATGCAGAAGGATATATATATACTCCCAGTCACATAAGCCTGAAGTTAGCTCCTTTTAAAGTATATGTATTCCCCCCCACCCCACCATAAAATAAAAACAATTACGAGATGCAGCTTTTATATATATATATATATATATATATATATATATTCCAGCATAACAAAATGAAAAACAAATCCAACTGTTTGATTCAAAACTCAATAATAAACAATGGGGAAGCTAAAGAAATGAGTTAACTTTAACCTGTTTCAGATTCTGTATTCTGCCGAGAAGTTCCTTCCTTGACTCAGCCAGTTCCTGCAAATCCATCCCCAAACACAATTGCTTAACAAATAATCATATTTTTTTTTTCAAACAAATTAAAGAGGAAAAAAATAAAAAACATCGGGTTCAATTAATTAATATGCCTACCGCAATCTTAGGAGTGATCGGTGCTACATTCTCTTTCTTCTACGCAAATCAGAATTACAAAAATACAAGTGAACACAATTGTAATACACATATATATGTATATATGAGCAAATTAAACTAGTGAATACCAGAGGGAGAGCAGTTTGAGCCACGGACGGAGTTGAATCGGAGTTCTCCATTCGTGAATTAGGGAAACTTCGAGAGGGTTTGGATCTGAGTTTTCTTTTTTCACTTTCAAAAGAATAGTTTGGTTTTGGTTCACTGTTGAGAGAATTAGAAAAAGTTAAGAATAATTGTCCATCAGCACCAGGCAGTGTATAGTTTCAATTTTGAAATTCAAGCTCTCGGTAATAGGCGGCTGGGCGGGCAATTTTTTGCTAGATTTTCCTTTATTTTCTTGGGGGGTTTTGGGAAGATGTTTGGAGTATAATGTAAACTAAACTTTCATATGAGCTTCGAAGTGTATTATTAGTTTTTCTAGTCGACAGAAATAAATATTTTTACATTGTTCCACTCTTCATGATTGATTGTACGTGAAATGTCCAATTATCTTATATTGTATACATTGTAGTGTGTTAGTAGTCAGTAGTCACAAAGAAGATTACATTGTCGGTTCCTTAGAAGATATAAATATGATATTTACAACTGAGGTAGTTATGAACATGACTATCGGTTTAGGTTGTAGTATAAATTGTTATGTAGTCTGTCTTGGCTATTGGTTTATACTAGTGTGTTGCGTTGCATTAAAAGAATCACAGTTGAGACGTGCTCTTATGTTCTGAGTGCCATGAAGAACTAAGATCTCATTAACTCTACTAATGCTTAACTCTAACTGTGATACTTAAATATGTGGTATACTTATTTGTTACTTTGACTTACTATGGGTGAGAACCAAGTTTGGTTAATGTTTGTCCCATTTTTGTTGCGTTTTTCGTATTTATTTTATCTTTCTTTTTCTCCCGTTTTAGGTCGTTTCTTTAGTTTTTAGTCTGTTTCGTGTTTTATTATGTGTTTTCCTTCATTTTGAGTCTTTAGGTGTTTTTCGTTTGTTTTTCCGGTTTTCTTTTGTGTTTTATTGTTTTTGGTGTGTAGGTCGGGAGCTTTGGGAGAATTTTCTCTTCAGGAAAAGCTGGTTTCGAGAGCATAGTTGAATAGAGGGGTTCGTTGGCGACGCGTAGGAAAAAACGGCGCTTAATTCCGAGTTCGAACGAGCTCAAACGAGGCCAAAACGTGAAGAGGCGCAGTGCAGTCCAAGTCGCGAGCCGCGACCGTGCCCGCGACCCGCGACTAGCCCCACGCCCAGCGCGCGCGCCCCCAGCGCCTAGCATCTCGCGCCTCGCGACCAGCGTGTCGCGCCTCGCGAAAAAAGCAGAGACGCGCAGCCCCAGCGACCCAGGCCGACCCTATTTTTATTTTTGCTCGTTTTTACTTGTTTTAGTTCCGTTTTTCGCGCACTATATATCAAAACGATCCTTAGACTCGTGGGAACAATCCCCAATATTCTTTTTTCACTTTCTCCTTCTCTAAAAACTCAGATTTAGATCGTTCTTTTTGCTCAATTCTCTCTTTACTTTTCCGGATTTAGCTTTGTCATTGGATTCGAATATTAGATTTCTATTAATCGTAAGTTTCTCTTTTCATCTAATTCATGAATATTATGGCTTTGATTGTTGAGATTGTTGATTTTGAATTCCATATGAGTGGCTAAATCGTTTCGCTAGAGATAGGGGATGATGATGATGTTTATAATTTAATTGTGATTATCATGCTTGTTGATCGCTCAATTTATGCGAGTTGTTCTTAACTAGGGTTTATAATTCTCGTACATTGAATGTTGATTATTGTCGAAGAGTGACACTTCGATTTGCAATTGATCTCCAATTGAATATGATTCGTTCTTGTGTGATGTGTTTAAATCCATCGAACTAGTAGATTAGCAATCGTCTAGGATAATTTAATCAACTCTTAGAACCGAAAGGGGAGGAGTTGATCGATCTTGGCTCGCATGAAATAGACTTGTTTGGAAACGTACTGTCTATGTTTTGTGTGATTTGTTTGATTTACCGTCTATGTTATCCTCTTGTTACGAAGAGTTATTGAGGACTATCTCTAGACGTTAGGTTGCTCGAATCATTTAACTGAATGATCTTATCTTGATATTTGCATTGGTTAGAAAATCATCGTCCCCGACTCCTTAGCTTCTTATCCTTTGATCTTCATCTTTGCTTTTAAGTTCGATTTGCATTGTTTGAATTCTCTTTCGTAGTTAATAATTAAAAACCACTATCTTGATTAGAGTGTTTAGGATTTATTTTTCTTTAATGTGTTATCAACACCATTCCTAGATTCCGAACCGCCTTCCTCGATAGATCGACCCGGGGAACGAATCTTTCGATTCGGTACTCGGTAAAAATATATGTTGCTACAACAAAATTGGCGCCGTTGCCAGGGAAGGCAAGTAGGATATTTAGTTTTGGTGTTGATTTTATTTTCTGTGTTTCTCTTTATTTTTGTTTGTTTTTCGTGTTTGTGTTCTTTCTCTGCGTCTTTGTTTCTCTCTTTGTTTTTGTTTCTTTTTGTCTTCTTTTTCGTGGCTTTGCGTGGTCGTTTTGTTTTTGTGTACAGGGATTTTGAACAGAAGTATCAATGAACCCGAGCAACGTGTTCCCCTCCTCACAAACCCTTTACTGGAATAATGGGCCGAGCTACGGTTCGTGGGAGTATGGACAGGCATGTGCCTTTCCTTACGAGCAATCGTGGAATCCGTTACCGTTCGAGCAATCATATGAGTCCCCCGTGGACTCCTCAGAATCGGATGCTAAGCTTGATCGAATTCTCGATATTCTGACCTCCCAAGCAGCCTGAAGGAAAAACCTTGAGGCCGGAATCGAGAACCTACCAGAACGTATTCGAGTTATGGAGAACCGAGTTTACAATTCTTCTCCCGATTCCCTCGTAGACAATGAGCATCGGGGGAATGCTTTGACGGTTGATGAAAAACTCGATCTTATTCTTGCTCGTGTGTCGGCCCAAACTACTCAACTGGAGGAGATTGAGGGTGGATGCACTCAGTTGGTAGTGCAGCTTGACGGTATAATAAAACACATCCAATCCATTGAGCCGCAAGTCGATGTGCCCATTATCAATGTCTATCAGATTCACGTGGGCGAGACTGAAGAAGGGGAAGATGCACTCCCAGAGATTGAGGGTGATATCCTGATGGAGGAAACTCCTAGGTCCAAATTCGAGAGTACCACACTTGAGTCATCCCTCCGCACCGTCGATAAGGCTCCATTTAGCTCGACATGCTCCACAGACACTCTTGTATTTCGAGAGGTTGACTGTGGAGGTTTGATAAGAAGAGCTATGAGCCGTTTTGTTACTATCCTTGGTGCTCATGCTCGATTCCACAAGAATATTGCCACCAGAGCCCACCTGGTTTGCAGTCATGCCACACTGCCCATGCTACCACTGCTAGAGAATACGAAGGCGTGGCACGATCGTCACTTCTTTTTGGACCCCGGCTGAGTTCCTCACAGGTTTCGGCAAGCTAATGACGTTAAACAAGCGCTTTTTGGGAGGCAACCCAAGTGTTATTTATTGCTTTCCTAGATACTTTCCTATATGTTTTTTGTTTTATCTTTTAATAATTGGAGTTTGGAGTTTTTGTTGTTTTTCGTGGCAGGACATATTGAGGACTGGGTTGAGCATCGGCGAAAGGCTTGCACGTGAATGCCTATTCCTCTCGACGTTACTTCGGTTTGCACACTTTTTCTCTTTTTATCTTTTTGAGTTGCTTCTTCCTCGTGTCTTCTGTTTTGATTTTGTGGTTCTGTGTTAGCTGCTAGTATTGGTTGATGATATAAAATTGCTAAAGTCTTGTTTTTTTTTACTTCCTGGATATGTGTTGAAGCAATGGGGAAATTGCCTCATTTTAAGTGTGGGGGAGTTTATTTGATTTTTGCATGCTTATGTTGTGGACCGATCTAGTGTAGGTTTTGTGTGTTTTGGAGCATGGACTTTGGAAATTTCAAGATTAGTTAAGACTTGTTTGATGAATTCGATGAGTTGTGATGTTGGTCATATGCGGCATAGCGTGATGAAATGCTTGGTTGATTACTTTTATTGGCATTCATGTATCTACCTAGTGAGGTTTGAGCTTATTTGTTTCTTGAGATACATTGGTCGTGATCTTGTTTGATTAGAACTTGCCCTGAGTCTGCATTGAAATAAATTGATTAGAAGTGTGAACTGTGTATATGATTAAGGCGTTTATTGTATTCTATCCTTTTCTTTTCTCTACAAATTATTCCCTAGTCTCCCCTTTTCGAGCCTTATTTGATTTTTGTTGATAACCTTGTGATGATGACGCCGTTGGAGTTGCGGGTTAAGAATTGGAGGGGATGATGGTTGGAGTTGTTTGTTGGAACTGTTTTTATGTTTTTCAATTAAAAAATTAATCGAAAGAAAAAAAAGAAGCCGAATGGATTATAAAATATCCAATAAAAAACGAAAAAAAAAAAGAAAAAAATAAGAAGAAATAAAATGGGTGAAACATGTGCTTTTAGAAGAAGTGTGGGGGAGGATCTAGTTTGTTTGAGCAACCGGCTGACTGTACCATTCTTGGGGTAAGGTGTTTGAGTTATGTAATGAATTCGAGCCACTTAGCCTATATTTATCCTACCTAACCAAAGAGCCTACGTTACAACCTTGAAAGACCTTTTGATGCACTAGTTTCGATTTTGATTGGTTTAGAGTAGAAGTTAGACAATGGGCAAGCATATGATTGAACTTGTTATTGACCAATTTGAGTGCACCTGTCTTTATCTGTATAAGAATTCGAGTGAGACACACATTTATATTCCCATACTTGAGAGAACGCCAAGTCGAAGTACAGAGATCAAGCATGTAGTTGTGTAATGTTCGCATGTGCCATTTGAATGCTCGTTGTTGAAGTTGAACATGTTGAAGCTATCTTGTTAATGACTGTTGTCCATGCTTGGTTTTTAGTTTTGTGTCTTTTCTTTTCTTTTCTTTTTGTTCGGGACGAACAATGGTTTAAGTGTGAGAGAGTTGTTTGTCCTATTTTTGTTGCATTTTTCGTTTTTATTTTATCTTTCTTTTTCTCCCGTTTTAGGTCGTTTCTTTAGTTTTTAGTCCGTTTCATGTTTTATTATGTGTTTTCCTTTATTTCGAGTCTTTAGGTGTTTTTCGTTTGTTTTTCTAGTTTTTTTTTGTATTTTGTCGTTTTTGGTGTGTAGGTAGGGAGCTTCGGGAGAATTTTCTCTTCAGGAAAAACTGGTTTCGAGAGCATAGTTGAATAGAGGAGTTCGTTGGCGACGCGTAGGAAAAAACGGCGCTCAAATCCGAGTTCGAACGAGCTCAAACGAGTCCAAAACGTGAAGAGGCACAGTGCAGTCCAAGTCGCGAGCCGCGACCGTGCCCGCGACTAGCCCCACGCCCAGCGCGCGCGCTGATG